ATACTAGCGATTATCAATCAGATATCATTTACAATATTCCCCTAGCGAATAAGAAAGTGATTAGGATTGATAAAGGATGAGAACAACGGGAAGCTTATGATCGGGAAGCTTATGATCCATAACATGTTCCTCAAACCACATATTCATATCAGTGTTACTATGGATGGATGCGTTAGATATTGTGAAATACTTATATCCGTTGAAGATTCGATCGCCTTTGACAACCTCAAATTCTTCACCAAATGTCATATTAACCTTTAAAAATGCATCCTTTTTCAATGCATTTTGAATTCACAAAAAGGGTCTCACAGTCGATCAAAAATGAGGTAGGGTTCTTATGCTTGAGATTACTAATCACTTCAGTCTGGATACGCGAATTGAAAGCCGATTCTGAATCATCCCAATGTACTCGGTTAGAGGCTGTCTCTTTCCGGTTAATCAGGCCTGCTCCTTTCTTCATCTCAAATTTCATCTGATTACGTAGTGTTGTAATATTGACCAAGAATGCTAGTAGATTTTGTTTTCCATCCATAGTAGTAGCATTTTTCAGATCTTTTCTTATTCGTTTAGAAGCCTTATAACACTCTTCAAGTCCATCCTTCACTGTTTTTTCCTTGTATTCATCTTTTATGAGGCTCAAGATATATGCGATATATTTCATCACATCAGCAAACATTTTTCAAAATTGCAGAAGCAGGTTCAACAATAACTGATTGACCGAAATGGAGCGCCAGAAAATATTCTAATAATAACTGTTATTTTATTCGTCACCATGAAAATAACATTGCACAAGATTCAGATCTCAAATTCCATTGGAGAATTCACTCTCTGAACTCTCATTTCTTATCACTTGTGTTTTATTGGTTTGTTTCATGTTGAATCATTTGAATACATGCAATGAACTTATCTCCATACTTATCTCTAATTATTTTATAACTCTCAACTTTGCAGTCCGACGCGGGCCTCAATACTTCAATGAGGTTTCAAAACGAAAATGTGAGGTCGAATTTTGCTATAATAGGGAGAATTTCTGTCAATTGTTATATTTATCCAATTCGCCTTAACCATACCTTGGCACAGCTCAAGTTGATAATTTCCAGATTGATACTTCACGAGATTCTACAATATTATCTATACAAATGCACGTTATTTAACCCTCTACAGTTCACCCTACTTTGCTACCCACTAGAGATGCCTGACGTCACAGCCAAGCCCACCTCCCAACTGGATGCGATAACAGATGTCGATACGAACAGGCGGTGGTCATTGCGCTCTCGGAGAGGGCAGACGTTAGCACAGTCCTCGGCCGCCTGCGTGTCACCACTATCGCTAGAGCGATGCGTTACGTCACAGCCTTCATTGCATCGTGAGAGATGAGGGCACATCGATGAATACGCATTACTCAGCCACACGTCGTGGAGTGAACATCTTGCTCTCTTACCGTTGAACGGTTGCTGCTGTGACGTCACACCACTACTAACTTGGTGGGCTCACACCGATGGAACATTCATTACTTGAAGGATCTTCGAAGTATGCAGACGTATGTTTGTACATAGACAAGCACATGATGAAACCCTATATCAATCAAATGTAATTATGTCACTATGTCACACACACACAAAATCTCATATGAAAAAAATTCTGAACGATCCATGCACCAGACCCTTCAAGGTCACATCGCCTTGATGTTACTAAACAACAACAAAAAAAACAATCAATACGTCATAGTGGTGGGGGGGTCCCAGAACCGGCTGTATTTTACTACTGGCGCCGTATTATCAGACGAGAGCGCTGATAAGGTTTCAAATCAATTACCACCGTCGGAAGAGGTCAACTCTGATGCAGGATGCCACAGAACGATTTGAAGAAATGAGAAGAGAGACCTTGAAAGAGGATCATGGACCAATCTTTGCCAAGATTGCCAAGATCCGACAAGACATGGGAGAATACCCACAGCTGGAAGTGGGGAAAGTTGGTGAGAAAACAATGCCCAAATGCATAACGAGAACAGGACAACTATGAAGCCACCAACGTCATCAACATGAGTTTCCGCACGCTCACGGACATAGAGGAATCTTTTTTGAGGACAGGTCTAAACTTCGCTATTGCACCACTTTGGAAATAATAACTGCAGTAGAATCCACCAGTTCCCTTGTGGATCAGATCGAGGCAGAAGAATTCAGATGGAAAATCAGAGAACAGCTAGATCGAGAACTAGTTCCACCTTGTAACGTCAGCACTGAAGAACGAGAAGCCCTGAAAGGGCTACTAAGAGACAACACCATCAAGATCTTACCTGCAGATAAGGGAAATGTTACTGGTGTGATGGATACTGACCTCTACGAACAGAAGATCGAAGAGGTGCTTCAGAAAGGAAAATACACAAATATCGTAAGAGACTGCATCAATTGAAAGGAAGGTGTACGAGACTTCGAAAAAACACCAAGTCTATTTTTCGGAAAAAGAGAGATCATCGCTAACACCACACCACAGTAAGCCCCCTCACTTGTATGGACTATCCATCATCCACAAAAATGATGTTCCGCTCAGACCGATCATTAGCTCCAGAGATTCAGTTACTCAGAGCTTTTCCAGATTTTTACTACTGATAATTAAACCATTGCAAGGTAAAACATCATCTTTTGTGAAAAATTCAGGCATTTTGTTGAACTACTAGGGGAAATCGAAGTCAAAGGGCAGGATCAACTGATCAGTTTCGACGTGGAAAGCCTCTACACCAACGGTCCTGTCGAAGAAACACTTCAGAGCATACAGAAGAAGCTATCCGAAGATGTGGACCTGAAAGATAGAAAAAACTTACCGATACAAGTAATCATGGAATTACTAGGATGATGTGTACGAAACTGCTACTTTCAACTGAAGGACGAATTCTTTACGCTAGATGAGGGACTGCCAATGGGATCGCCACACTATATATTGAAGAAGCCCACAAGAAACCCCGAGTCTGGTTGAGATACGTAGGTGACACCTTCATAATATGGAACCATGGAAATGCAGAACTAGACATTTTTCTGAAACACATCAACAACGTAAGTCCTTCCATCACTTTCACAATGGAGAAGAAAGTCCACAACAAATTGCCTTTCTTAGACGTAATGGTGAAGAGGGCCGACAATAAATGGGAACCATCTGGGAACCACTCACACAGGACAGTATCTTAACCAGAAATCCAAACACCATCAATCGACTAAGAGAGGCATCATCAAGACCCTACTAGACCGTGCCTTCGGGCTCTTTATACAAAGGAAAATCTCGAAAAGGAACTAGGCATCATCAAAAATTACCTTCAACGGAATGATTACTCCAGAGTGATGGTAGAACAGGCTTTAGCTAGGAGACAGCAAGAGGAAGAGAAGCCGCCACAACCAGTACTTGTACTTCCCTACATCAGAGGATTATCGGAAAGGGTAGGAAGGATTGGGTCCAAGTGTAACATCAGGACCTGCTTCAGATGTGGGAACACTATCCGTAGCAGCCTTACGAAAACCAGGCCACCAAACGCGAATTGCGATTCCACGAATTGCATTTACCGGATACCCTGCTAGTGCGGAGAATCATACATCGGTGAAACTAAGAGGCCATTGAAAGTTTGCATTGCTAAGCACAAGAAACGCACACAGCGAGAAGAAACCAGCAAATCCGGAATAGCAGAGCATGTTTGGACTCATAAACATAATATCAAGTGGGCTCAAGCTGAAATCATCTACAAAGAGGAACATTGGTTTAGGTTTAGAAAATTCAAAGGGAGCGCTTATAAGTTATAGGTGAAAGCACTCGAATGACCTATAATAGTCAGATTTCGAAGGAATGGGTCCAGGTCCTTCGTTAAAAGATGAACAATTTTTTCATCCATCTCACCCCAGCCTCCATGAAGGGCGGCATTGATGTCTGAGGACATTCATGCCGTCATCTCACCAACATCTCCATCAGTCATGAACTATTTGTCCCTCTGACAAACATCAGTCAAAAGGGTAAGGGAGCCAGGCTCCAACCTGACCGAAATCAAGATGGCTGTCACGAATAAGTCCAGTTATCACCCGAAACGATTGTGGATACTAACAATCGAAAAGTCGTGACGTAACTTGGTTTGGAATCTTTTTATTTTTCATTTTTGTTAATAATATTCTTTAATTTTCAGCTTTTATTACTATTTCAATTTTTTATTTTTTTTGTTGTTGCTTGTATGTTGTTTAATGGAATTGTTATTTTTGGTTAATCTTGTTAATTTTTTTTCAGGGATTTCAAATCAATTCATACTATATTAGATAATGGAAGTCCGAACTGATGAAATAGGCTTATATGTTTCTCCGATGTTTATTTTTCCACGACAGATAATTAAATCTTATCTCAAGATTGTGGGCCCACTCTATGAATGCTCCAAATCTGGGAGGATAATCGAAGAGCTTTTCGCAAAATATGTGAAAAAACAGTCTGTGGAAATTCAAAATCATATTCGTCTCTTTATTATTACTACAGTTACAGATTTGTACGTAATTAATGTGGGCAGCATTTCATCAAACCTAGACATGACATTATTAGACCAGTTCAACAATACTACTCCTTTTCCATTTTTTATAATTTTACAATAATTACTTTCTGTTGTTTGAACTTTGGATTTTTCGTCATTCAGTATGCGTACCTAAATAAATTTCTTACTACTTACTATATTTTTGAATCTATAATATCGAACAGTGTCTTAATTATAGGCTCAATTCCTTAGGGGCTCAGTATTATCCAACAATCCCCTGATTCCAATGTCGGTGTCATCATAATTTTCAAATCATATTATTACGTTATAGAATGCGCAACATGGCACCATATCACATGAACAGCGATATTAACGCTATCCAATGTTATTTTGGAAAAGCTTCTAGTTCAAATGAAATGAAATAATGAGTCATATCGGTAGACAGATTTGTGAGTTTGAGTCGCTACTCGAGTAACATGCATCTTAATAAATACTTTGAACGATTGTCGAATGTTTTTAGAAACAAGATCTCAATTAGAGTCCTTCTATTAGTTGGGTATATCAACTGACGTATGGTCATCATGAAAACAGTTCCACCTCAGTTGATGTTTTGAGTTCATATAATAAAAATGTATCTTTCACTATCTTCCACAGCCCTTTGGTGCTGTCAGTTGCTTCCCAAGGAAATATGGCTGATAATACTTCGGTGAGTTGACACTTTTTTTCTGAACTGTCACCGAAACATATTTCAAGTGACACTGAGAGTGAATTTTAATTTTTCAGAATGTTGGATCCTCTCTCATTATTTTCTGCTTCTAAAGTAGATCCAAATTGGTTGTCCATCTGTCTAGAAAACAGACTCTTAAAGAAAACGCTACAATTTGGATTACAACTCCATAATCGCAAAATGTGTGATGGCAGTTATTCCAGTTTAAGTACAATAAGGAAAGGAAAAAGGGACAGAGAACTAAAAATCACTGAATGTTTCACTCCACTTAAGAAACAAAGAAATATATAATATTTTTATGGGGATATGGGAAGAATTTATCACGATAATATGAAAATCTACAGTTCCATTTGCAGCAGGCAAGTTACCTGCAGATCTGAAGAAATAAACAAATTTGTTTGTGCAAATCTCTTCGCCTTCCAATGGCATGGAATGAAAAATGGCATGGACGGGGATATGGTGGTGATATCTTCCCCTTTAATTCAATCAGTACTGTCTGCAACATCATTTGGATTATTCGACTCGAATGTTACAAAAAAGCAGCAGTGTGTAAATGAAGTTTGAGAGATATTCTCAAAGAAGTGAAAATATTTTTTTGTTGAAAATTGATAAATTTCTTTAGTGACATTGAGTTTTGGAAACTGAAATTTCTATGAGATACTGAGGTAGATAATATGAAAAAATTGAATAAATATATGGAAAAATAGTGAATCTAAAGGACTATGAAAGTATATTAAAATTCATACCAAACAAACATAATCTATTATTAACAATAGGTGAAACCAGAAATCTTTTAAATAATAGAGGCGTTTCATCCAGGGAAAAAAATACATTCTCATTAAACATTTATAATTGGAAAGAAACGTCTTCGATGAAATCATTGCTAACTCATCAGCACTAATTTTCAACAAGCACTTGAAGATGTTTCAGAATTTCGGGCCAAACAGCTTCGAAAGTACCTATTTAAAGAAAACATATCATTTGGGAGTTAAAACCCACTATCGATAAAATAATGGCAAAAATTATAATTTCAATTGCTAATGTAGGATGCAGATTACACTTCGGTTGCTTGTATGAACAGAATGAAAAACAAAATTCTCAGATATTTTTTTCACTTGAAAACTGTGATGGTGGTTTATGAATAATCACTAATGATAACGATTGTAAGCGGTAAGTGAGAGAAAAATTCGTCAGTTGAGACAATGCAAATTATTCTTACAGTAGGAAATACTTCTCAAAGTAGTTAGTCAGAAGGTACAAATCGTGAAGTTTGGATCAACTTTGGCCACATTCAATAATACTTTACTTGACTTGCGTCTTCAATGAAGACCACAAAAATGTTCAAATACAGTATTAAAAGATGAAAAATGAATAATGAAATACAGTTTGTTTTTGTTCAATCAAGATATATTAGGCTCCACCTCCTAGTACGTACCTATTCTTGCTGGTGACTACCACCTACAGAAATTTGGTTTATTATTATTTGGTGAGCTGATGTAGTTGAATTTGATGGCTTTTCGAATGTCAAATGCTATACTCAATTAAATTCAATATTTTATCTGTTTGATGTAATATGGAAGTAGATTTTACACTTAAACCCCACTGAATATTGGCCAATAGTTTTTTCGCAAGGTCAGTGTCTTCGAATTTGATTTCATTTTTATGGATATTCATAAGAACTCGATGATAAACACGTTGTCTCATACCAAACATATCATTTTTCAAGAAAAATGAATCGCTGAATTAATTGATGTTTTTTTTTCTATAAATTATTCTTAGAATCACCTTTTGTGTAAAATTTGAGTTATATAGGTCATTGGAGGCTACACCGCCCCTTTCTGAAATTACATACGTTTCACTTTATGTTACTGACAGTCTTCATGGAAATGTTTGAGGAAGTTGTATAGCGAAACACATGTTGCGATTCTGTAAACTCACAATGAAATCTTACTTGAATAAGTTACGAATTTTTATCAAGTATCGGCCAATTCCATCATATGTTTTTAAGTCCTCTGTGCTGAAGAAATTTGTAAGATATTTGAATTCGAATAATATGCCTTTTAGCTTATTTTTCTCATGATTGACGTGAATATTCCATCTCAAGGGTCTATGATAATAATGATAATATTTTTGTTAAAATTCGGCTTTGAACTCGTAATTTCATTAAACTCCCACTTTGAACTCGATTATTCCAAACTCCGACTATAAACTTGAAGTTTCATTATATTTCCACTTTGAACTCAAACTTCACTGATATCTTCGTCGAAATTATTTATTTCAACATCATTTTTTCGGCAATTGAAAAAAAAACACTTTACAATTGACTTCATCTATGCACTTGTAATATGCTGTAGAGGTCTGACCGGTTTGAAGGGCTTAGTTTGGAAAAAAAGATTGAATCGAAAAGAGCATCGTTGTAATTCTGCAAAAAATACATCTTTTTTAAAATAACTCCATAAATTTCAATCAAATCAGTAATAAATACACATTGCAGCTATATTTTGCGTGCGTATAAACGATAGTAAACGCAACACGTGTTTCACCATATAATGGCTTCTTCGGGCGTGTCTTATCTCACAATAAAGTGTTTTTTGAATACATCAGTTATCGGCTATTCCATCATATAGTTTTCGAGTTATTTGAAGAAAAGGTATTTTTTTTCATCATATTAATTTCCCATCAAGCTCAAATTTTTTCAAAAGTCAACACTTCAAACCGGTCATACTTTTAGATATATTACATTTATGAATTGAATTGTAAAGTAGTAATGAATTTTTCATTAAGTCAGTACATAGAGGGTCATTTTCACATATATTTTTTCTGAAAAAAACAGGATCTAACATAGTTCTTGTCATGACTAACCTATTTTTGATGTCATTAATTTTTATAGAGAATAAACATGATGGGTTTTGCAAGCACATCAAAAAAAATCATGAGTTTTCTTTCAAAAATGCATTATTTTTTGGTTACGTCTCGTTGATATTTTCAAATTTTTGGCATTGGACAAATAAAAAACAACTTCCTTGATGTAATTAAATCTAATACCTGCTCCGTATGCAGTGGACTCAAAGACACCATGATATATTGAACTTGAAGACACACTAAGAACGATTTTTTTCAATGAAATACAATTTTTTTTTGAGTAATTTACGAGAAACCGCCAGAAAACGGTTTATCAGTTGAAAAATTGACACTCGCTGGCGAATGAGTCGACAACTATTGACTTTCATGTAAAATTTCATGAATGGTTGTTGTTGTGAGAAACTATTTGATTTCATAGAAAATTGGATCCACTTTCATTGCTCTATGCTACAAGAGCAGACCCTGTTTGGTTGTCAATTTGCCTGGGAAATGAAATATTGAGAGCAAAGTTACAAGACGGATTAAAATTTTACGGAAATAAAATGTGTGACGTCAGGTGTCCACCACCTCTCACTTTCCAAGATCACGAGCTGCCAGTGAAAAGACGAAGAATTCAGTCATATTTTTTGTGGGACCTAAAATCATTTTCGGAATGTCATGAATTGATATGATATTGAACATTTTGGTTTTACTCATGAAATTGTATTTTACTCAATATTTAGACTCAACTTGTATAATTGTCAATGACAAATATAAATTTCGAAAATATTTAGAAAAATTGGCCTTTCAGCAAAATATTATTAGAACTTAAACATTATTTCATTAGTATTAGATTGTTTCAACAGTTTTGTCATTTTCAATACGTTTCGTCGATTTCCTCACAATAGGTCTTTGCTGTGATGGTTTGGCCCGGTTTCAGAAAGTTATAGTATATCACACTAGTCGTTGACCACCATACCATGGTCTTTGTTTGGTGGGTTTTCTCCTTTAGGAAGTGCCTGGGTGGCTCATCGATGTCCTGAACGTCTTCTTCATCATAGAGGCCCCACTTTCCTTCACGTGTGACGATCCGATCGAAAAAAGGATCGTTTTGAAAGCGAAAAAGCAAAGAAAAACAGACCTCAAATCGTAATCGTCTGTGACATGGTTTGTCTGACGGCCAGCGATCCTGATGCACTAAACCAGATGCAGACCTGGTTTGAAGAGATCTCTGAGCTGCAGAAAACTAGTGATAGCGTTAGGCGTTTCCGGATCCGAATTGAAAGAGCCCGGGCTAACCCGGAACCGTCTGAATACGAGCAACGTATTCCGCACGATTTCGTTATGGATAATAACTTATTATATTATATCGAACCGAATCAGAATGTGAAAAGGCTATTATTTCCAAGGCATTGCTGGTATACGCTCATCAAACGCTATCACGACGGCGCTGGTTATCCTGGGATTGAGGAAACTCAAAACCAAATTAGTAGGCACTTTTATTCGTCTAATATGCGTCGACAAATTGCAACATACGTAAATACATGTTTAACCTACGCGACTACCCAGAGAAGTCCTCCTCAGGAGGCCGCCCCCTTGCGTCCTAACGAACCGGAACGACCTTGGCAGATTGTATCCATTGATGTCTGTGACCCTATAGCTCTAGTGAAAAGGGAAACCGTTATATCATTTTAGCCACGGATTGCTTTAGCAAATGGGTAGAAAGCCGTACAGTGGAATCTGCTCAGGCGAATACTGTAATCGAGTTTGTGGCACAAAATATTGGTTATCGGATGGGATTCCCAGAAACAATAGTCACTGATGGTGCTGTCATGTTCCGGGGACGAAACTGGGAGCAGTTTCGCGAGAGACATGGGATCCAACTTAGAACTAGTCCGGGTTATCATCAGCAGGCGAACCCAGTTGAACAGCGAGTACAAGAGAAAGAAAATGCTGCGGGCTGCCCTAGTCGGGAAGCACGAGTCGCAGTGGGAGCGTTTCCTACCAGAAACTATATTTAACTTAAGAACCAGAGTCAATGCCGCAACTGGTGTGACCCCGTGCCGGGCGGTGTAGGTCGGGTCATTCACGTGGACGATCTGCGACTCTCACCTCCTCCCCGCGAAGGGCAACACCACCTGGATCCGCGCCATGCGGACAGTAGCTTAGTATTAGATTAGTTAAGGTCTCCTTTGTATATTTAAAAGCTGCACGATGGAGCCTGAAAAGGGGACAGGCGAGGAAGCGTGTGAGCATTGATTGTAAATGGAAATTAGTTAAGCATAGTTAGTTAAGCACCGAGCCAAGTGGGCGGAGCTTGCGCGCGCTCGCTGAAATCATATAAATATAGCGCGCCGCGAAGTAGTGTTTGACTTTTTTCAGTTGAGTATACGCCGTAAACCGTTCTTTTCAGCTGGCGATTATCTCAGATAAAGAAAGAGAAATCCAAGCAGAATTTGGAATTATTGTCTGAGGAGATTTGTTACATAGAATATTGTATTACGACGATATAGTTTCTATTGGAATTGTGGATAACACAGTATTTGGAACGAAATTAATAAGAACTGGACATTGGTTGAATACGAGTATAAATATCAAGGTCACAT